TTATGCAGAAAAGAAGCATAGATGTTTCAACTCTTATACACCCTTACACATTTTTGGTTTAATGGAAATATACTGAATAGTCCCATTGAAAAAAAACCCTACCTTTCTTCAATAAACCTCAACATACATACATAATTTACATATTTTCTCCATTTCTGATATTTTTTATAAGCTTATAAAGAATATCAACCTGGGTTTTAGAGAAAAGCATGTGGCCTTTTTTTCCTCTTTTCTTTTGTCTGTTTGCCACTATTATAGTTGGTTGCTCAAATGCTCAGTTCCACCATGATAAAGCTTTGTTAGTTTATTTTCATGGGGGACACCATAAGTGTTCAAGCACATAGTAATTAAGTCCTCCATTTCTTCAAGGCTATTATCATTGCTTGAAAGTGTTGCTCCATAGTACGTCTCTACAAAATTCAATCCGAATTAGTCGACAAATAGATCTGAACTACTATTTGGTATTGCAGAGTTGCAGAATTACACCGCAGCTTTTGTTATCATCTTCATGCTGTCATTCATATGCGGCCTACTGGGTTCTAGCTGTATAGTGTTCAAATAATTAAAAATATTCTTTGAACTCTTAAATATATTGGACATCATCTCCAGATTTAGGTGTACACAGTAAAACTGGTTGACTTATGAGAGAAAACAAAACTAGTGCTGATATGGCAGCCCATGATTGGTTGATATGTTGAATGGTGGCATCTGTTACCTCATAGGTCAACTTGCCAGTACTGTTTTTTTCTGTTCTTTATGGGAGAAAAAAAATTGAAACTTTTTCATTTGTCAACTCTTCCTTTGTATCACAACTCTCATTTGGGCCAGAATCTATCTATATATATCAATGTCCTTTTAAGGAGACTGATAATTAATTTGATTTCTCTTAAATCGATTTTAAAATTCGAGTTTTATGAAAGTAAACGATAATATTGCAGGAACTTTATTCTTGTTTAAAATTTTAATTTGATTCTACTTTAAATATAATCGAAATTTTTTGGATTGTGGGTTAGAATTATATTTAAATGAGTTTAGTTGCTTGATTCTTGAGTTAAAAATATAACTGAATGACAACATATGCTGCATGCACTACCCATGAGTGTGGCCTAATTGATTAATGATATAATACAATGCAGCAGGCAATATAAAACTATATAAAATACTAGTTGATTTGATGTTGAAAAGTTGGAATCTTCAAAATAAATTACTAAAAATAAAAGAATAATTGCAGCTAATTCATCTGCAAAGCTGGCTCCCAAAATACAGTGAAAGTGAAATCTTTTATGGATTCTTAGGTAAAATCCCAAGTGCTTTTACGTCACACGATATGTCTAACTATACACTAAATTTTAGGGCATTGTTTGCTTCAATCTATTAATTATCATAATGTTAAGGATATGCTTGGTTTGTGATATCTAAGATCACGAGATATACTACAAGATTATGACATAAAATTATTATATTTTATTTGTGCATTTCATTGGCATCATAAACTCACAATACCAACAAAGTCAAAATTTTAATATTTAAAGTGAAATCTCAATATCAATTCTTCCCTAGATCATATATTATGCGTGTAATATGAAATTTTAGATTATTTTATCTAGTGTCGGATTGATTAAGGGCTGAGAGTGAGCATGTGTCCACTTGAAATTTGAATTTTTCTTGAATTAGTCATTTATTTTATTGATAGTATTCACAATAAAATTTTATTGTATACATCTTGAAATTTAAATTTTCTTCTATTAGTGACTTATTTTATTGATGGTGTCTGCACTGAAATTTTATTTATGTCTACCTCATTCAAAAAATTCATATTGTTAACATATATGTAATGTGCTCATCCTAAAAAATATTTCTAGATCCGCTATTGATTTTATCTTTCAAATTTTAGTTTTAATCAATTTCGTTTATTTTTTTCCTAACCAAAGTTGTGTCAAATAATAACTTTGACAATATTATTATTTATATATTTAATTTTAGGATGACATAATAATTTATTAAATCTGTTATTTGAAATTATTTTTGTAATTTTAAAGAAATTTTATTAAAAAAATAATTTAATAGAATATAATTCTAAATAATTTTATAGTCTCTCTTTCATGAACGAATATAAGGTTTTATGTAAGAAGATTCGAATTTAGTAAGTTATATTAAAATTTAGGATACAAAATTACAAAATTTCATAGATGTAAAATTAGATCACTAATAAAAAAATGAAAGAACATCTAAATTGTATAGGTATATCATTTTGGCCGCTATTTTTGTTTTTGGAGCATTTTTGTCTCAAACGTTTTATCTCAGGGTAAAAAAGCTTCTAATGCTTGACTGAATAGTCTTTATTCTTTTTTTAGAATATTTTAACTCCCGACGTTTCATTTTAGGATAAAAACTTATATTTTAGAGTGTTAATCATTTGTTAACTAATAGTTTCCATCAATATATTAATCTTTGTCCCAACATAAAACATTAGAGAGGGGAAAATGTTTTAAAAAAGGACTAAAATAATCATTTTAATAAATGTTGAAAGTTAATTTTAACTATATAATATTTTAAATTTTCAAAGATACATCTCCTTGATTGTTCTCTGTTCTCGATGGATGAGTCGTATAATATTATATGATAGACATAAAAGCATGGTAAGAAAATGAAGGTGTATCATACATTGACAAGACGTTTCGTTGAAAACCATGCAGGGAATAGGTATATAGGGGAATTCCCTTTATCTTGTAATGTTTCGTTGAAAACCATGCAGGGAATAGGTATATAGGGGAATAGTGAAAAAAGATAAACTAATGAGTGAATGTGGGTTAAAGAGACTTACGTATATTATATATTTATAAAAACACACAAGTGGAGATGCTCGTTTTGTTACGTTGGTTCTGGAAAAATAGCATTCATTCAAAGTTTAACTTATTGGGGAAAAATAAAATAAAATTACTAAGGAAATTATGATTTATTTATTGCTATGAACCTATCGTTTCTCCTTCTAAATAAAATCATAATCAATGTGAAAGTATTTGTATTCATTACAGATTTCGTTGGACATATGAGATGAAGCTTTCATGTATGATAAATTATTTAGGTAGGGTTATTGTGTTTGTATAATTATATATAGAGAAAGTATTTTAGAGTTTGATGTACACTCATATGATTATCTTGTAATTTATCACTTATTACAGTGATTACTTCTCTTCTATATGTGTGTCTTTTAGAATTTTTCATGTAAATTAGTGTGTTTTTGTCTTTCTTTCTTATTGTTTTATGATCGTTTACTCGTCCTTGTGTGTAAGGGTGAAGTCGTATAAAGAGGGGAGTGATTGTCCTAAGAACATATAAAAATGTTAATTTATGGAGCTAAAATCTTAAAAAAATTGTAAAATTCCTTTGAAGAGGACAGCGGCAAACTATTTTTGGAGTGATGTCAATGTTCGTTTGAAGTAGTGTACAAAAATATAACTAAAACACGACGTTAAATATGATTTTAAAACAAAAAATTGTTGAATGATCAAAATAGAACAAAAATGATAGTTGGGGTACTAAATGTGTACTTTAACCATTTTTAGATTAAGCCTATTGTGTGTGTACATAGGGTTGAAAAATACGTTGCTATGCGGGTATAGGATAGGAGAGGAATGGTAGCTAGGGTTTGGTTTTGTCTTTACTCCGAACATCTTTTTATTTTCTTACAAATGGGGATATAGTCTAATGAGTGAATGTAGGTTAAAGATCAGTGACTGAAGAGACACAACTAACATGTTGTGTTCGAATATTATATCCTTACAGAACATATCACACATTTTCTGATTTTCTTTGAATCTTTTGATGGACGGGTGAAGTTCCCTCCTAAATGCAATAAAAACTTGTCTTTTCAACTGAATTATTGCTTAGAATATTTGTTTTTAAGAGAATTTTCTGCTCCTCCAAGCAGTATATAAATGCTGTTTTTTTGGGGGGAGGGGTTGGGGGAATGGAAAACTGAAGAAATATGTTTGGCTAAAGATTTTGAAGTTTTTTTTTTTGCAAAATGAATATAAAATAATAAAATATTGTTTTCATTATTTTGATTAAAAGTATTTATTAAATTGAAAAATATTGAGAAGGATTCAAAAATGTAAACGCATTTTTTAATAATATTCTATATAATCATATATAATCACATTAATTTGAGAGGATTATAAGGTAATATTTATTCAAAAATTTTATAATCTATCGACGATGCACATACATCCTACAGACAACATTACATGGACCTGAATCTTCTAGGGAGAATTCGCTTTTACCACAGAAGTGAGTATAAGTCCTTTTACATAATCGTATTAATATTGATACCGACCACTCAAGGTATAAATGGCATGCACTTAATGGATAATAAGTTGTATTAGGTAACATATAACATCATAATCACATGAAAACATATATCCATTTTCTGCACCAACAAATTGACATTATATCAGGTTCGGGACACCATCCACGGATTTTGTGAATTAGAGTCCAAAGATCTGATACCAAATATTGCCCGAAAGCTTTGTGAAAATTTGGTATAAAATTGGACAAAAGCATCTACCGACAAATTAACTAACAAAGGAAGTTCCCAATTGATAAAATGCCATTGAAAATACTAAAAAACAATATCCCAAACAAAGCACACTTGAAAAATGATCTAATAAAAATTATTTGCATCCAAAATGGTTTAGGAATAATTTTTTCTACACCTGAAGTGACCTTAAATTGCAGAGTAATTTTCATTTATATCACAAACCTTTAATTTAACCGAGCTACATCATTCAACTTTTAATACTAAAAAAATTAAATCACCATCGAATAATTCTAAATAAACCGAACCTTAAAACAGCTTGAAAAATTTAAAACCCAGAATAACGGCATGTTTTCATGCTTGTAAATAGATAAAGTTTTATATACCAGAAAATTAAATTTGATGTAAGAAACATACCGTCTATTTACATACAAACAGAATTATTTAGAATTATTCGATGTACTTAAAGCCATGCAGAAATCACATACAAACAGAAAAAAGGGGCAAATTTTAAGCAAATAGATAAAGTCGGAAACCGTCTATCCTTGCTTGTATATAAGACGACGCACACACGGTCCAATATGAATTCCTCAATTTCAATACACCATGAAAGACATTTGCAACCCATACTAACCTTTGTCCCAAAAGGGCCAACAGGGTTGTTTACATCTTCAAGATTTTTCTTTCCCTAAAGCAAAACAAAAGGAAAAAAAATCAGAATGAGGAAGCCCTGGCCATAAACCCGGAGACCAGTAAATTAAATGTAGCCATAATGCTCATAACAATATAGCAGATAACTGAAGTCTTTTTCTGAGCCAACCAAACTGGTTGACTTTTGATTCCATTATGCTCAGATATCACCAAAGCTGGTAGTTCAGTCCGTTGCAATATCGATAACAACGGTTAAGCCGGTTGTTGATTTTTCACAACCAAACCCCTAAATATAACTGACAACAGAAAATTTTCAATCCTAGAAATCAAATGTAACATCACAAGAAAGTTCTCGTGTTTTAAGGATCAAACATCGACAGCAAAAGAGGTAAAAGAAATTCACCTCAAGCTCCTCGCGCTCATGACCGGTGGCGATGGGCATTACATCCTCAACCTTCTTCACAACACTTTCATCTACACAACCAAAAAAAACGAAAAAAGTGGAAACCGGATACGCCGAGGAGAACATTCTTTTCTAATTTCGAATAAAAAATCTAAAATATTCAAAAAGACTATCAAAGGAACGCAAAAGCTTGAAATCAAAACGATTCGTTTAACGATGGATTGACGGAAATCAGAGTTACCTGACGCAGCGGAGAAGTGGCGAGTGAGGAGATAAACGGAAGGCGGGGACGATGAAACGTTGGATTTGGATGAAAACGGCGCCGTTCTAGGAGCCGATCGGCGTGGAGCAGTTGCTAGGGGTTTAAGCTGTGAAGTCAACAGCCTTCTCCACATTTTTCTGGAAAATCAAACAAAAAAAAACTATCTTTTTTCACTCTGTGTTTCCTTTGCAGTGCAAATGGGAAGGGACTGTAGCCGGCGATGTGGTTAAACGGGAAATGTATCTTTTGGGTCAGTTCCGCACGCGCGCAAAATTTGTTACACGTGCGAACTTTGTGGGGGGAATTTTGGGGTTTTTACGGAGCGGTTCAATTGGAGAACTTGCCATGGTAGAGGAAACGCTCGACTCTCACTGGGTGTATGGACTTTAGAAACTTTTTTGTGTAAAATTATGATTTTGATCCTCCTACTTCTTTCAAATCTAATATTTAAACTTTGTAATTTAATTTAGTATTATTTAGTCTCTATTTTTTTCAATATAAATAATCAATCTAAATAATTAACAATATAGGTGGAAAAATAGAATTGTTTATTTAAACATTTACGGATATTTAATATGTGCTAGTAAATTGAAATATTAAAATTACTATCCACTACAAATTCGATGTAGATACAAATAAACATATTCATATGTCAATTTTTTAAGTTATGATTTTGAATTACAAAAGTAAAGGAGATTTGTATATTGGTCATCTAACTTTTAGCGAGTTTAGATATTTGATGTGTTTAAATTTTTAGATTCAATTTTTTACGGATTCAAATATAAGATAAATAATAATATTTAATTTAGAATAATTTATGAATAAAAAAATAATTTAATTTTTTAGACAAATTTTTTATTTTATATATTTGAAAATTTATTTAAATTTAACTTGATATCATTTATAATTATCAATGTTAATTATTCTGATTAGAATAAATGAAAAAGAATAATCGTTATTGACTTATCGTATTAACATAAGTTTTTCTAGGTTAGAAGGTGGGCTTCTGTTTTCATGAGGAAGAGGAGAGAGGTGGAGGTGTTTCAGATTTTTTTTTTTTTAAGTTTTGGCTGAAATTTTTTATAATAATTATTTAATATTAATATCAGACATAAAGTCATGTTAATTCTTCGTAGATTGATAAATTTAGTAGATATAATCATTTCACAATCAATTTTAATTTTGATAAATCATGGGAGATTATTCAAAAATCATGTTAATGTCAAAGAATCTTGACTTTTATATTTTTTTAAAAGAATGATTTCGTATGATTTTATTGTATATTCATACAAAAACGAAAAACATCAATTATGAACATCATTAAAAAAAAACTCTAATCCTAAATAGAGAAAAAAAATATACCATAATAATATCAAAAACACTAATCGACATTCTAACGGACCAAAACACGATACAACCCCATACAAACCACCACCTCAAGATCCATGCGATTGCACCAGGAAAAACAAAGATAAAGATGAAGGCTCCACAGCTTGATGGCTTAAATGCAATCATTTGCTGCATTGAAAATGCTATGCCAACACCCAACATTGAAAATGCACACCGCTGCAACATAGAGAAACAAACCACCCCTTCCAGAATCACTAAGTCGGCCTGGGAACAAACACTTAACTAAACTCACCAATCACCATACGAAACAAGCATGTAATCAATACCCACAACCAGACGGTAAAACCCAATTGGAAAACCGACCACGATTCAAAAATAAATATCAGTCTTTGGCCAATTCCTCATCCCAAAAAAACACCAGCACACAACAGACTTCTGTATTACGCCAACGAGACCTCAATTGCATGAGCAATACCTTGACAGACATGAACTGCATCCGACTGAAAGCAAACAAAAACCAGGAACCTATGAACTCATTAACCGAGGCCTGATCCAACACCATTAGGATGTCTAACGAAATCAATAACCGGCGGGAAGGACAAAGGCCAATTACATTTACACCCATTAACAGAGCCGATTCAAAAAAAAATTCTCCATCATAGGAACACCCATTAACAGTAACAGATCTAAAAATTAAAAAATGGGATCTAAAATTTTAATACTCTATTTTAAAAACATTTTGGGTATACAGATTTCTTTATTTTTTTTTCTATTTCCATTAATAAACTAAACTAAATGTAATACTTATCTCAAAATAATGGGTGTACATATCTCAAAATAATGGGTGTGCAATAGTTTCCTTAGGGAGCCATGTACATCCACCCCTACCCATTAAACACAACACTGTTTCTACCCACCCATACAACCCAAATGATTCCAAAAAGCCAGGCACCACAATTGTTTTGACGACCGACTAACTGGTTGATAATTCCATGCAATTAGGAACGATATTGGTGTTATCTGGGACTACCAAGTTAATATTGCATAGACTGCATCCTCTCTGCCAGACTCCCCAAACCACTTCACAATGGCAAAAAAGGTGATTAATCGACTCTGGTTCCTTGAGACACAACACACACATCAGACCCCAAAAATGAGACTACCCTTTTGGCTAATTCGACCGAACATGGAACTCTTTGGTGAACAACTTTCCACATAAAAACTTCAATCTTTGAAGGAGCAACCTTAGACCACGCTAATTTCCAAACCAACTCCCTCTCTCCACTCAAGTTTGATACAAAAGAGCAGAAACCACCTGGCTAATACAGTCCATTCCGAGCTCCATTCCACACCAAGCGGTCAGAGTCGATCGAGCCCCTCACCGCTCTATTGATTACTGACATGAAGTCATCTCAAATGCCCAATTCCCATTCAAATAAAATCCTCCTAACTTCAATATTCCGAACCCAAACTCCGTTTAATCTAGAACCAAACTCACATGCTTTGCCACTTTTCTTTACAGCAATACTAAAAACCCGAGGGAAAACCACTTTTAATGATGTAAATTCGGTCCATGGATATAACCAGAAACAAATTCGTGCCACACTTGATTTCCTTAGCCCAAACCAAAGAGCGTGACTCTTCCACGTTTATCTTGATCACTTGGGATTTTTTCATATTCAATTTAAAACCCGATGTAATCTCAAACAGTCTCAGAATTCTCTTGATATTAAGAATCGATCCAAGATTTACCTCCGAAAAAAATCATGAAATCGTCTACAAATTGGATGTGTGATATGCACAAATTGTTAGAACCAACAGAGGCGCCATTAATCAACCTGATATCCACTGCTTTGCTCAACAAAGAACTCAAAGCTTCTCCCACTAGGTTGAACAACATGAGCGAAAGAGGACAACCTTGTCTGAGACCTCTCTTTATTTCGAAAAATGGACGGCGTCGATATGCACATGCGGATCCAAGCCCTCCATCTCTTGCCAAAGCCCAAATTCTTTAGCACGAACTCTAAAAATCTACAATCCATTGTATCGTAGGCCTTCCTAAAATCAGCATTAAAAAGACAAGCTTCAGCTTTTCTTTTATGCAAATCATCGATACTCTCATTAACTATAAGAGAGCAATCGACATTTTGTTTTCCAGCAATAAAAGTAAACTGATTTTCACTGATGACTTTATTCAAACAACCAACAAACCTCCTAGAAAGAACCCAAGCCAAAATCTTATACATACTACCCACCAGGGAAATTGGTCGAAAGTCATCTATAACTTGGTGGGTATTGGTCGAAAGTCATCTATAACTTGAGGCGCAGTAGTCTTTGGGATCAGCGCTATAAAAAACTGATTAATTGACCTATCCCCACTGTAGAATTCTTAAAAAAAATTATTTACTTCGCCTTTGTTGAAACTCCAGAATTTTTTAGTAGAACTGTAGGTTAACCCATTAGGATTACGAGCCCGATTCCCATCTGCTGATTTGATTGCAGCTTATATCTCTTCTTCCAAGAAAGGAACTTCTAAAGCTTTCCTTAAAGCCACACACAGTCTTTTCAATTGAACCTCCAAGCCTTTTAATAGCTAGAGATATCTGTCTAGGCTCTGCTACTATCGAATCACCCACACGAATGGACGAGATGGAGTTAACTCGCTCTCTTAAAACTGCGGTTTCATATTTCTATCACCTTCTTTAAACTACTTTAGTCTTGGCTTTTATACTTTTGAAGATATTTTCTCGGTGCGTCAACTACAAGGGTTTTTCAAAGACTTTATGTACAAAGAACAATCTTACAAAAGAGATGCAAATATAATCATATCAAAACAAAAATTATTTGTCAATAAAATAATATTGGTTAGAATATTTTTAAATTTGTGTTTCACATTCACAATGAAATTACTAAAAATATAATTTGATCTCTAATAATTTTGCTTTTCTCGTAGTTCGGGGAGACCGACACGTTCAACTTCTCTTCTTGCGCACACGTCCGAGCAGCGCTGAAGGTTAGCGAGTAATACATGCCTTTAATCACCTTGAGCTTTTTGCTTGATCAGTGCTTCATCGCCTAATCTAACGGCAAAGCCACCTTCGGGTACTATTAGCAACATGTCGCCTTGCTTTTGACCTGATTTTATGTACTCAACGTAGCCTGAAACTTCCCACTTTGGTATTGCCTTTCGGCTCATCACTTTTGTTCCTTTCAATTCTGATGCCTTTGGTCCATACTCGAAGTTACCATTTGGCAATAAACCTGAAATAGAATTCAATCACCGTATTAGGATTGAGTAAAATAATCCAAAATCGGTTCAAATCATAATATCACATCTAATTAAGAGCGGAATTAGGATCGAACATGGAGAGGAGTAGGTGAGCTTACCATCTTTGAGAGATGAGGCTATTTGAGAAGTGGTGCAGAGTAAAAATAACAACACGCCGATCCTCTGCATTTTCTTTTCTTGAGACCAACAAAAGGAAGAAGGATGGAAAGACCATGAGTGACAATGTGTGCTTTTATTTGCTTTGCTCTATAAGAATGCCACTAGTGTCATACCAAAACTACATGAATGCCATTATAGTACTCCATAACCCGAAGCTTTATAATTTTATAAACAAACTAATCTAGTATTAAACTTACTCACAATCGACATCAATGGTTAAAAATATACGTTCTTCCTGTAATACTCGCGTCTCTATTACTTCATCTATAAAATATTTGATATTAATGACAAAGAAAAATTTTGAACGAATAAAATTATATTATTTGTTTTTACTAACAAATTTAACGTGTTAAATATTTAAAAGTAACCCTTAATAAAAATTTAGATAAATTTGTAACCCTTTAAACATATAAGAAAATAACAATATAGATAAAGTAAGAATATACAATTTTCCTTCAATTATCATTATGATTAGTTGTATAAATCATAAAATAAATTAAGACACAACACAAAAACAATATGACTACGTAACTTGTT